ATATGTGGTTTTTCGAGACAGGGTTTCTCTGTGTAACAGCCGTGGCTATCCTGGAACTTGCTTTGTAGACCAGGCTGACCTTGAACTTAGAGAGAACTATCTGTTTCTACCTCCCAAGTGCTGGGATTAAAGGTGTGTGCCACCACCTCCTGGCTGGGGGTTATTTTTTAAGCAGAGGGCACTCAAAAGGAAGATGCCCAGGTCGGATCTTTTAAAAGAGGGGGAAAGTTTTGTATTGGCTCCGCTTACTCTTCCTTCCTAGGAATTAGGGCTGTGGACACAACAGGCAGCAACTAGGAAGTCAGGAGCTAGGCCTCTGTCCCCAGAGAGCTGAGCCCACCACTCAGATCCTTCGTTTCCTCTGGTTGACCTCCCCTCTCCTCACCGGCTAGGCCCACTACTCAGGCTCTGCCTGCCCCTGCTCTCTCCCTGGTCCTCCTCTCTCCACTGAACTGTTTCCCTGCCGCACAGACCCCATCTCAGAGTCCATCCCACAAATAGGCTTTAAGCCTTGCTGCCGCCAGGCAGCCTGCATCTTCCACTCTGCCTCCCTCCCCACACTCCTCTCCCCGACCCTTCTCGAGACACCAGCTAGTGTGATCCCATCTGGATCTGGATACTTTCTTGGGGCTCTTTCTAATGCCTTTCTTAATTCCACACTCGACTTGGCCTTGCCATTATCACATGTCCCTCTTGGTGTCTTCACTTTCCAAGTGCTGTTCTTGAGGGTAATGAAAGGGAGAGCCAGCCTGCTTTATGGGGAAGGAGGGAGTGACAGGATTCTGAGGCTTACCGAGGCCTGAGGCTATCAGATAAGGTAGAACCAGTTGGACTCAAAGAGAGGTTCAATTGAGAGAGGATGATTGCAGGTGCCCCTTGGCCCAGTCATCCCACACCTGAAAATCTCTCTTAAAGAAATATCCCAGGAGCCAGGTGGTGGTGGTGCATGCCTTTAATCCCAGCACCCGAGAGGCAGAGGCAGGTAGATCTCTGTGAGTTCCAGGCCAGCCTGGTCTACAGAGCAAGTGCCAGGACAGCTGGGTTTGTTACACAGAGAAACTCTGTCTTGAGAAATCAAGAAAAAAAAAAAAAAAAAAGGAAAGAAAGACAAAAGAGGCTGGATGACTCTGCTATCAAGAGTGTTCACTGCTCTGGGCCCAGTTACAAGCACCCACATCAGGCTGCTCACAGCCACCCCTAACTGACCCCAGGGGATTCACAGGCACTAGCATGCACATGGTGCACACTCAGGCACAAGCATATATGCATAAAATGAAAACATCTTAAAAAAAAGAGTATTCCAAAATTTGAAACCTCTCCGTGCCATGCTCACCCCAGCTTTGTTTGCTGTTGAGAGAGGCTGTAAGTGGCGTACAGAGCAACAGCCCAGCAATAGGAAAGCTCGCTGAGGTGTGCATTCTAAGTGGCCCGTTACTATGTGGCCGTCAGGCACGTTCTTGTGGAAGAGAAGTCATGGATGTGAGCCAGGCATCCGTTGACAGTGTGATTATGCTTGCACAGAATACTGGAAGGCAAGCTGGTCCAGGGGCACATGCCTGAGGCAGGGGGATGGCTAAACAGACAAACAAACAAAACCTGAAAAAGAAAGCTCTCAAGACTCCATCAGAAGGACTGGAAAGGTGGCTCAGTAGCTAAGAGCACTGGCTGTTCTTCCAAAGAGCCTGGGTTCAATTCCCAGCTTACAACTGTCTGTAACTCCAATTCTAGGGGATCTGATACCTTCACACCAATGCACATAAAATAAAGCTAAGTCAATTTTAAAAAAAGACTCCAACAGAGAGGCTGGAGGCAGTGTGGACAACTTTTTCCTTGGTTAGTACTTTACAAGGTGGCTACAACACTTATTTTTCTCCTCCGTCTCCTTTTCTCTTCCTGTTTGTTCTTTTTTCTAACGATTTATTTATTAATTATATATACAGCATCTACCTGCATGTATCCCTGCAGGCCAGAAGAGGGCACCAGGTCTCACTATAGATGGCTGTGAGCCACCATATAGTTGCTGGAAATTGATCTTAGGACCTCTGGAAAAGCAGTCAGTGCTCTTAACCTCTGAGCATCTCTGAGCATCTCTGAGTCATCTCTGAGCTATCTCTGAGCCCTTCCTTTTTGTTCTTGACGTTGTTTGTCTGCTTGATTTTTTCTTTTTTTTTTTTTTTTTTTATTTTAGACAAGATATACATTATAGCCCTGGCTAACCCAGAGATTACTATGAAGCCCAGGCTGGCCTCAAATTCATGGCACCCCTCCTGCCTCAGCCTCCTAAATGCTGGAATCACAGAGATGAGTGCTCACACCGGTTCATAGATTTTCATTTATAATTTACAAAGTGATTCACTTAGACTTGATGAAGTCATGAATGTTGGCAGAAGGAATGAGTCAGTAGAGAGATGGTATAGCCTGGACACCTTCCTGGCCGACAAGAGCCCTCTGCCATGGGTGCCTGCTTGCCTCCTGGAGTTTCCTTAGCAACTTGCCTCCCAGCATGCATCATTGGCTCCATGAGTCAGGTGAACCAGAAGATTACTGAGATAGTCCTGGGCCCCAGCCTGTTGGTCAGCCTCTCGGTGAGTTGAAGCAGATACTGGAGCTCAGGCAAGACCTTTGGGAAGAAAGGGTCCTAGGGAGAGTCATTTGAGGTGTGCCCTGCGGGCTCTGTACCCCTCCAAACACATGTTTGTACAGTTGAGGTTTCAAAGTTCACTTTTAAAAAATTAGCCGACTTTTAAGAAATGTATGTATGTATGTGTGTGTGTGTGTGTGTGTGTGTGTGTGTGTGTATGCATGGGTGCTTTTGGAGGCCAGAAGAGGGCGCTGGATCTCCTGGAGCTGGAGTTACAGGTAGTTCTGAGTCAATGTGGAAGGCCCTGAACTCGGGTCCTCTCAAAGAACAGCAGGACGCTCTTAACTGCTGGGCTCTCTCTCCAGCTCCAGCAGGCTGCTTCTTAAGAGAAGTTTTTAAATTTGCAGTGAACATATATACCGTACGCCCCACCCTCACACATGTGTAACCTGCCCCATCAACCTCTCCATACCTCAGTTATAATCAGCAAACCCTTCCTGCTCCCAGCATTACTGCCGACTCCCCTACTTTATCTTAGGCTTCCCTCCTGATGAGTGTGGACCATGCGCAATGATGTGTATCATCTGCCTCTGCAGTGCATAGGGAATAGCCTCACGCCCCAGCTACGCACACCGCCCTTTGTCTCCCTTCCCTCCCAACCTCTGGTTGCCACTGGCCTACTTACTGTCTGGGTAGTTTCAACCCTAAAGAATGCTGTGACCTTGGAATCCTGCAGTGTAGCTTCAGGCGTCACTTAGTAAAGCACCTTGAAGGTTCCTCCTTGGGTTTTCGTGGATAGCCCATTCCTTTCCAGCTTTTGCTAATACCCCATTATCTGGATGGACAGCAGTTTGTTGATCTACTCCCCTCCTTGGGCATATTGGTCACTCTCATGCTTTGGAAACTAAGACTAAAGCAGGACATCCCTTTGCAAGCTGTCACTGTGGGTGCAGTTGTTTTGGGTAAATACCAAAGGACACACTATCAAAGCCGCTTCCAAGGTGTTGTCTTTCCACCAGTGAGGTCTGGGGTGTCTGTGCTTGGAATCCTCACCAGCACCTGGTGGTATTGGTGTTCTGAACTTGGCTGTCCTGGTAGGTGTATGGTAGGGTTTCACATGATGATCGGACAACACAGGATGTGGCATCTTTTCATTGCTTTTTCATCATTCCTATATCTCTTCCTCCTTTTTGAAACAGTGTTGAAGGAGCTGCGGGCTGTGTTCCTGCCACCCAGCTCCCAGCCTCCTGTGCTGGGCTAGCCTCCTGAGCTGGGCTAGCCTCCTGAGCTGTGAGCTGCAATAAGATGCTCTTATCAGATTATTCTACCACAGCGATGGGCTGGGGTGGGAATTAAAACATGAGGTGTCTCCTAGGTCATAGGCCCATCTTTAAAAGTTGAGCTACTATTTCTCTTGTTTTTATATTTAGACAAATCTTTTATTGGGCATACCATTTGCAAACATTTTACCCCAGTAAGTGCTTGTCATTTCATTGTTTTGACAATGTCTGTGGAAGACATATTAAAAATGTCAATGACTTTCCACTTCATCTTTGGCCTTTGGTTCCCTGTCTAAAAGGTCACTGTCAGTCCCAGGGTCACTTGGGAGCTCCGACCTTATCCGCTATGGTTTTAGAGTTTTACATTGTACATTTAGGATGGTGGATGGTGGCCCATCTTGACTTGGCTTCTGCGACCCCTGCAGTTTTCACCTCTGTTCATCCACACTGCCCCAGCAGCTCCTCAGCAATGGAGCAGGGTCTCCAGTGGCACCCAGAGCTGCTGCCTCTGGCTTTCTGCTTCAGGGCGTCGGTCCCCTGTCTCTGCCCACCTTCTCAGGTTGGAGGCTGCCACCTGCTCCGTGGCACCAGTCCTCACAGTTCTGAGAAGAGTCGTTGATGTTTCGGTGTGTTCAGACTTTTACTGCTAGGGCAGGGCGGTGGCTGTGGGTCTCTTACCTGATGGCCTGGAAACCAGAAGTCTGCAGATTAGTTTGGTTTTATTTTTATTAAAATCTAAAGCCCTTCCATAATCCTCAAACATGCAGAGACACACGGACACAGTGGCTCTGGTCAGGGTAGGGGCTCTTCATTTGGCCACTGTCCCAGCCACTCAGGATTCCTGAACACGTTATGTTTGCCTGTTTCACTGTTTTTCATAGTTTTCCAAGACAGGGTTTCTATGTGTAGCCCTGGCTGTCCTGGAACTTGCTTCAAACTCAGACTCATAAAGATCCACCTGCCTCTGCTCCCTGAGTGCTGGAATTAATGGCACGTGCCTTTTTTTTTAATTAATTTATTTTACATGCATATATGGTGCTTTGCCTCCATATATGTCTGTGTGAGGGTGTTGGATCCACTAGAGATGGAGTTACAGACAACTGTGAGCTGTCATGTGGGTGCTGGGAATCGAACCTGGGTCTTCTCGAAGAGCAGTCAGTGCTCTTCACTGCCGAGCCATCTCTCCAGCCCCAGCATGACACAGGTCTCCAGATCTAATGAGAAGGCTTAGACTAGACGACCCTCACCCGCTGTTGGAAGGGGAGTTTCCCCGGGAGTTTTTGGCACATAGTGTTTTCCTGGTGGTGATGCCCGCCTCTTCCGCCTCTCTTCTTTCCCCTTCCTCCTCCTCCCCTCTTCCCTCCATCCCTCCCTTCCTCTCCTTTCCTGTAAGTCCTCTTTGCATTTTTGGTCTGTCTAACCCAGGCCCTCGACCTGTCATTTCACTCCACTTTCTCACTCTTCTTCCTACCACGGCGTCTTGCTTTTTGCCAAGTGTCTCTAACCTCGTGATCTGCCTCCAGATTTTTCTCCCTGATCACCCCAGCTTTCCCAGTATCAGTTTCTAAGGACTCCAGCTCTTGTGTCATTCTTTCTCTTGCATTTATTTGGGGGGGGGGTTCAAGACAGGGTTTCTCTGTAGCTTTGGAGCCTGTACTGGAACTAGCTCTTGTAGACCAGGCTAGCCTCAAACTCACAGAGATCCACCTGCCTCTGCCTCCCGAGTGCTGGGATTAAAGGTGTGCACCACCACTGCTCAGCTGTTGCATTTAATTTTTTTTTAAATTTTTTTTCTTCCTTTGAGATAGGTTCTCATCACCAGGAAACCTAGCGTTCAGGAGGCAGAGGCAGGCGACTCCATGTAAGTTCGAGGCAGCCTGGTCTACAAAGTGAGTTCCAGGACAGGCAGGGCTACACAGGGAAACCCTGTCTTGGGGGGAAAAAAGAGAATGAGAGAGTCTTACCATGTAGCACTTGGTGAATCAGAACTCACTATGTAGACCAGGCCACCTCCAACTCGCAGAGATCCCTTTTTCTCTGTTTATAAAGTGCTGGGATTAAAGGTGTTTCAACACACCTGGTTTTTTGTTTATAATTTTAAAAAGTTAAAATAGCTGAGTAATACATACTGTTTTCTAATACGCAGACTATTTATTAGTGAAAAGTGAAAGCCATCCTTTTCTTGCCAACTTTCCTCCCTAGAGGTACCCATTGCTATTCCTATGCCATGGATTCTTCCAGAACTTTTATAGGTTATTTTTACGGGCACTACATTCCTCTGGGTTAAGATATATATATGCAGGATCATGCTATAAATGCTCTCTCACAGCCTGCTTTTGTCTTACTAATTTATTCATTGATTTATTTTCAGAACAAATGCCTCTCAGGAACTCTTTTCAGCCAGTACTATTGGCCTGCCTATTATTTTAGTGGCCTCATGGTATTCCAAAGGTTGGATTGAGCATAATCAATTTATTTTCCAATGATAAATATCTCAATGGTATTTATTTTATTTTATTTATTATGTATGCAGTGTTCTGCATGCATGTTTGCCTGCACGCCAGAAGAGGGCACCAGATCTCATTATAGGTGATTGTGAGCCATGTGGTTGCTGGGAATTGAACTCAGGACTTCTGGAAGAACAACCAGTGCTCTTAACCTCTGAGCCACCTCTCCAGCCCCTCAATGGTATTTTAAAACAGTGATGTATGTGTCTGTGTGAACATATGCCATGTGTGTGCGGGTGCCCACGGAGGCCGGAAAAGGACTTCGAACCCTCTGCAGCTGGAGTTACAGGCAGCTGTGAGAGCCTGTCTGGGTGCAGGGATCTAAACCCAGTCCTCTGGAAGGGCTCTTAACTGCTGAGCATCTCTGCAGCCCCTCTCAGGCATGTGAGCATAGGGAACATTTGAGCATAGTGAACATTTGAGCGTAGGGAACATTTGAGCGTAGGGAGCATATGACTGTTTCTGTGCCTTGATCTAGTTTGCTTCTTGTTGCTGTGATAAAACACTTACCCAAAGCAACGTGTTGGGAAAGGGTTTGTTTCCTCTTACAGCTACATCACGGAGCGGAGCCAAGGCAGGCACTCAAGGCAGGAACCTGGGGACAGGAAATGGAGCTGCTACTGGCTGGCTCTTCATGGCTCACTAGCTGCCTGGCTGACTGCCTGGCTTACTTCCCTTTAGATTTATCTTATTTTATATGTATGACTGTTTGCCTGCATGTATTGGGTCCCCTGGAGCTGGAATTATGGATTGTGAGTCTCCATGTAGTTGCTGGGAATTGAATCTGGGTCCTCTGGAAGAGCAACAAGTTCTCTAAAGCAGGGAGCCATTTCTCCAGCTCAGTTTGCCTTCTTATACAACCCAGAACCACCTGCCAAGGGTGGCACTGCCCACATCAATCATCAGTCAGGAAAATGCCCTACAGACTTGCCCATAGGCCAGTCTGATGGAGGCAGTTCCTTAGCTGAGGGTCCCTCATCCCAGCTGACTCTAGTTTGTGTCAAGAAGACAAAAATCAATCACCACAGGGCTCATTTGCAGAATAAAGCCCTAGAAGTGAAGTTTCTCAGTGGGATGAGTATGGTTAGAGAGAGAGGGGGGAGAGAATGTGAGCACATAGATGCTCACCACCGCACACATGGAGGACAGAGGACAGCTCATAGGAGTTGGGTCTCCTTCCACCGTGTGGGTCCCAGGAATCAAACTAAGGTCGTCTTGCTGGTCCTGATTTTCTTCTCATACAAGCGAAGCCATCCTTTATGAATTGGGGGACCGCTAGCGTCAGTTCGTGGCCCACCTCTGAGGGATTGGAATCAAGTTGTGAATAGCAGTAGGGTACGCAGACATGCTCTCTGGATGATTCTGTGCGCGCATGTATTCCTGTGGGAGGGTAGCACTGGGTGTGGGAGCTTCCAGTCAGCCCGCCAGACGGGAGGGAATGAGCCTCAACATCCGGTAAGAGGCCCCACAATAATCCACCTACCTGAGAGCATCCATAGGGATCGGATGAGCTGTATGTAACACATGCCCGACCTAGCTGGGACTTAGAGGAGCCCCTGGTCACAGCAGGGACCGAGTATGTATGTGAGTGCACGGATCTGTCTGCTGTTGCCTTTATGCACCAGGCTTGACTATGAGGTCACTTCTACCATCCTGGACCCCATTCTACTGGGTGACACATCTAGCACTTCCATAGAGAACTCTACCCAAGCACAGCTAGCCCCTTAGCTGACAAACAATACATTGTGAGGGCACTGACATTCCCTTTTCTTTCCTTTTCTAAGGTGAGGGTGGGGAGCATCAGAGATACAGTGGGCTCTGGTGAGAGGTCAAAGGTGACTGATTGATAACAAGGTTAGCCCCTAGTAAGTACCTGTTTGACAACTCTGGGCTGTGTGCAAAATGCACCAAATTCTTTCTCCCGGGTCCTTAGAGAGGCCATGGAAGGTAGGTGTGGTTATTACCTTCTTACGAAAAGATCGCATGTGTGTACTTGTGGATTGCAGTCAGAACCCTACTCTGCATCCTGTGCTCCCAGAAGTGGAGCCAGGAGGACAGCGTGATGCAGGGTGCTGGGTGAGATTTGTATTGATGACATACAATGGGACCATGTCAGTGACACCGATGGCCCAAGGTCCCTACCACCTGTGGGGCAGAGAAGAGGTACTTGGCTACATACTCTGTTTCAGGCCTTGGATGCCAGTAGGATAAAGCTCCAATCCCTGACCCCTGACCCCTTCCCTGGATTTGCATCAATCTCTAATGCCCTGTTTTTTTTTTTTTTCTTTTCTTCTTCTTCTGATTTTTGAAGGCAATTGAGGAATATGAGTTGGAGAAGAAGTCTTTAAAAGAGAAAACTCACGGCAGCCTGGGAGACAGAGGCAAAAAATCCTTTCTCAGTCTGAAAAAGTGCTTTTGTGGGGTTTGGTTTTTTTATTCTCTTAAGCTAAGATCCTTTTCAGCATTTTTGTTTTGTGCTAGCATGGATCGCAGGGCCTTGCACGTGCCAAGCACGTGCCAAGCACGTGCTCGGCCACTGAGAAAAACCCCAGTTGTTAATATTTAATCTTTGAAATTCAGTTGAGTTAGAATCCAGAGTTCTACCTGAGGATAGCTTTTGTCCTCCTCTGTGGTAGCCTTCCATCAGACCTGACACTGGACGAGGAAGGAGGGAGGGACAGGACCACGCTGGGCTATCTGCTAGGTGACATCACACCAGGTGCTTTGATCCCTGCTTCTTTATAAAGTCCTACCTGGTGGTGCCCCCCCCCCCAGGAAAGCTGGGGAGAAGCTTTCCTGGTGCAGAGTCTTGTCTTCCCTGCTGCTTCTGAACAGATAGGCCAGCCCAGCAGTCTGACCGTCACCAGGCAGCCCTCTCCAGCAGTCTTAGCTCCCAGTAGCAGGTGCAGCCACCGCTCCTCATATTTAACTTCTCCTCCATTCTCAGCCAGGAGACCAAAGGAAGAGTCACCGATATCCTGCAAAGGTTCGGAGCTCCGGAACGCCAAGGTGAACCTGACAAAAAGGGTAAGAGCCCAGTGCCATGTTGCTGTACCAATGGTTTCTACCATGGACAAAACGGGTTTTATTCTTCAGGAAGGAAGATTTGGTGTGTAGATAGCGACTCACAAAGAAAGGCAGGGTTCACTTTTTCAAAGATCTGGCAATACTTTAATTCTAGAATTGCTCATGTCACTCTTGAAAGGGCAGAGCTGAACCCAGCCTCTGCAGTTAGAGTGTTCTACAGTCCTGTGTCTGTTACTGTTAGAGCTGAGGCATCTCCGCTTAGAGAGAGTCCTCCAGTTCCACTGCCATGGCGCCTTCTCCACGGAGGGTCCCATGTCACCACTCACCAGCCAGGCTGGTTATGGTGATCATTGCGGATGTGCCAGGAAGCGGAGATGATGGTCCAGGGCCATGCAACACGTCAAAGGACAGGCACAGCTCTCCACTCAGCTCTCCGGCCCAAGGCCAGCCCGCTCTGTTGCCGGCAAGTCCAGTGACAGCTGTCCTTGTCAAGAGTCACGGCACAGGCTAGGAGTGTGGCTCAGGGGTAGACGGCTTGTCTAGCATGCACAAAGCCCTGGGTTCTGTCTCCAACATTGCAATTTTTTAATTTCAAAAAGAACCCCAAAAGTGGGTATTTAAACTATCCAGATCACCTGTACTGAAAGCCTTAGGAAACAATGCATTATCTTTTCTGACAAAATAATTTACTATATTAATTTTGTGTGTATGGGGGGGGGGCGGTGCACATGCCATGGCACACATGTGAAGGCCTGAGGACAACTTGCAGAAGCCAGTTCTCTATCTACCTTGTAACTCCCGGGGCTTGATCTCGCGTCATCAGACCTAGTCACTGGCATCCTCGCTCACTGACCCATCTTGATTGTTCCTATTTCCATTATCTTTTTATCATCTTTAACTTAGCAAATTCCAAAACAGCACAAAGCCCGGTGGTTGGGTCTGAGGTGAAATTGCCTTACACGCATTGATGGTCTGAGTATAGATGTCCCGCCTGAAGTGGCATGTGGAGTAAATGGCAGAGTGACCTCTGATTCAGGATCAGCACAGTCATTCAGCAAGCTCTTCTCTCACTGTCCCCTCCCATGGCCGAGTTATAAAAGTAAACCGCTAGCCCAGCACAGCGTATCAGGTGCTGTGGGCTGATGGTAATTGCACCCCTCATTCCACTTTCCTGTATTGTCCCATCTTTTTTTTTTATCAACTGTCATGTTTGCATTTGGTTATAAAATTTAATTTAATGATATATATTAAGTAATGTCATATATTGAGACAGTTACATCCTTTGATAAATATTACTGTTTTAAGAAAATCATGCTAGCTGGGTAGTGGTGGCACACACCTTTAATCCCAGCACTAGGGAGGCAGAGGCAGGCAGATCTTTGAGTTCAAGGCCAATCTGGTCTACAGAGTGAGTTCCAGGGCAGCCAGGGCTACACAGAGAAACTGTGTCTTGAAAATCATGCTAAATAAATGGCACAAAGAGGCAGAGGACTATGTGCTCTGAGATATTAATGATAATAATATTGAAAGTAATGAGGAAGAAGTCAATTAAACTGTAGCAGTTTACATGATAATTTTGAGAACAGTATACATATTCATACATACGTATATACATACATAAACATACACATACCCTGAAGAAATCTAGAATAAGGCTAGGTGTCTAAACTTGGACATAAAAGTGTCTATGTGTTGGAGAGACAGGTGGGAGAGGGGGAGGGCTAACATAAATGTATTTGTAAGTCTTTGCTCAGAGCTTTAAGGAAAGCAGAGCTGATGCAGCAGGCGTCGAGGAGTGGTGCTGGGGTCGGGGAGCTCTCGTTTGCTCCCTGTCTGTGAGTCTGTTGCACTGTGTGTAGAGGGAGAGGCATGTTCTTGTTTTAAATTGTCGAGATGATGGATCCCATTTTCATAGTATGCTTTTTTTTTTCTCGTCAGAAAAGAGCAGATAAAAACCTGCTGGCAGAGCTTCACCAACACCCTCCGTTTGATGAAACGAAGCCCAACAAGCTTCCCAATGGCGTGGACTTCTGCGATATGGTGGGCAATGTGATCCGGTCTGAGAAAAACCCGCTTAGTGGCAAGGTAAGGGAGAGAGCAGGGAGCCAGCTCACTCTAGCTGTACAGGCGTACCTGCCGAGGCAGAGGACTCTACGGGAGGGGCAGAACCCAGTCGTCAGTGCTGGCAGCAGTGCTTTTATATCCTGAGCTCTCTTGCCAGCCCTTGCAGTGTGTTTTGATCATGTGTGCTATTAAAAAAACCAACTGGAGAAAGTATCTTCATATCTACGTGTCTGTCTGTGGGCTATCTGCTGTTCTCTCAACTGCTCTGTGGCACGTTGGTCAGCCTGACTTCTATTACTTTCCAGTCAGAACAGTTCTGCTTTGGGTGTGGAGTATTCCCCAACAAGGCTCGTGCATAGGGCTCTGGAGGGAAGAGTGATGATGCCCCAAGATGGTTCATGCTTAGGTGAAGCAATGCCAGAGGCAGGTGACAGCTCAGTGGAGATCTGCAGAAGGAAGACGGTCAGAGTGCTCTTGGTGACCCTGTGGCTAGGCCTCTTCATCTTTTATGGTTGCATGATCTCTTTCCCCCAAATGGTTCTGATCATTGGGCCTTAACTAGTCAGCCCTCCCTCCATTCCCGGGACGCACACGGCAGGCAGGCAGGCAGGCAACTGTACTCGCTGCTGTACACCCCCAGTTATTTCCCTGTCTCTATTTCTCTTCTTCCCTTCTTTTTTTTCCTTCCCTTTTCCTCCTTCTTCCGGCCGCCTGCCGGTGCTGAGTCCCGCCTGAGTGAGATGAAGACCTAAGGCGTGTGATCCAGCGGCAGACACACAGGCGTCCCTCAGTCCAGTCGTATATGCTATATGGTGAGGAGAGCACAAGCTGAAACTTCTGCTCCTCTGAGTTTGTGTGTAATTGTTTTCATTTTTGACTTAGGTATATTTATTACTGATTCAGCAGAGTCTCATGGCTCTGCCCTTTGCCTTGTGTCATAGATGCTTGGTGACTCCTTCTAGAGTTGTGGGTTCCTAGTACTGGCTCTGCCGTTTGTGGGTGACCTCCTCTAGAGTTGTGGGTTCCTAGTACTGTTCTGCTGTTTGCTGGTCATATTACTTTAAGTCCTTTGAGCTTTGCGGTCCTCAGTGTCCTGAACTATGGAGCCTCAGTTTCCTAGTATGTGATAATAATCTGTGCTCAGAGATTCTAGCCAGGTTAAGAGAAAATGTAATGTCTCTTAGCATAGGGCCATGAAAATCATGAGACTCACTGAAAGGTTAGGATTTTTTTCTTTCTTTCTTTGTTTTTATTTTTATTTATTTATTTATTGGTTTTTGATTTTTGAAGACAGGGTTTCTCTGTGTTGCTTTGTTGCCTGCCCTGAAACTAGCTCTTGTAGATCAGGCTGGCCTCGAACTCATAGAGATCCTCTTGTCTCTGCCTCCTGAGTGCTGGGATTAAAGGTGTGCGCCACCACCGCCCGGCTTCTTTTTTTTTTTGTTTTCATTGCTAGCGATTCAGCCCTCAGGAGGTTGGGACAAGGAGAATCACAAGCTCCTGGTACAGGGGACATAGTGAGGCCCTGTCTTGAGCAACAATAGCAGTAATAATAACAATGGCCACGATACTAATGTAAACTTCATTTCTTTTCAAGTCTTACTGTTTAGACAGAGAATTAGAGAAGTTTCTATCCTCTCCCTCCCTGAGCGCCATCTGGCTGGACAGCTTTTGGTGGCTGTTTCATGAACGGTACCAGGTAAATGTGAACCTGTGTCTCCTACCTCACTGGTCTTGCCTTCTTATGGGACCAAGTCCTAAGTCCCTCTGTTCCAGTGAGTTACCTCTGCAGATTCAGCCGCTCACCTCCCTACTCCTGCCCCACCCACGTACTTGAACCTCAGCTCCCCTGAGCTTGAGCAGTCGGTCTCGCTGCTAAGTAGCGGGTCCAGGACAGGGGCGAGAGGAGAACGTGGGACCTCCTGGCCCAGACGTAGGAGTTTTCCTTCCCTGACACTCCATAGGTGCTGTGTAAATATGGACGGCAGACAAACAGCTTATTCCTCCACCCGTGGGTTGTGACCCCTTTGCAGGGGTGGGGGTGGGGGCTCAAATGACCTTTCCCAGGGGTCACATATCAGATATTTACATTATAACTCATAACAGCAAACTTACAGTTATGACGTAACATTGAAAATAAGTGTAAGTTGGGGGTCATCACAGCGTTGATAACCACTGCTCTAGCGAGTAAGACTTCTGAGGTGAGATCAGTGCTTTGCCTGAATCACAGACCCCTGCCAGATGTGGTGGTGCATATTCAAGGCCAGCCTGGGGTCTCCTGGTAAGGCCATCTCTGATAAAACAACAAACAAGAAAGAGAAAGCGTGGCAGCCCATTGGCAGCTGCAGCAGGCATGCTGATAATTCTCTGTCTCTCGCATGGCAGCCAAACAAGGAGATCCAAAACAAGCTGTTTGACCGAATAGCCCGAAATTACGCCTTCCTGTTGCTCAAGACAGTCAGGTCCCACTATGAAGAGGCGCTCATAAAAGTGAGTATTACAAAACATTCAAGTCTAAAACAGTTTTAAAAAATTAGACATTTCACCAGGCAATGGTGGCATACGCCTTTAATCCAAGCAATTGGGAGGCAGAGGCAGGTGGATCTCTGTGAGTTTGAGGCCAGCCTGGTCTATAAGAGCTAGTTCCAGGGTAGGCTCCAAAAACTATAGACATTTCATAGATCTCTGGATAAAGTACATAAAATGAGAAATTCACTGAGAAAGAAGTATAGATAGGAGAAAAGTTTAGTCACAAATAAAAACAGAAATAAAAACAATAATTGAACTCCCTGGAGCTGGGGGTGTTGCCCTGAAACAGTGCTTCTCAACATGCGTGAGATCCTAGTTCAGTCTCCAGCATCACACAGAGAAGAGAAGAGAAGAGAAGAGAAGAGAAGAGAAGAGAAGAGAAGAGAAGAGAAGAAGAGAGGAGAAGAGCCCCTCTCAGCCTGTATTCCAGCATTCAGCAGGCAGAGAGATGATTCACATAAATTCCTGGGCTGCATAGTGAGACCTTGTCAAACAAAGCTCAATTGATCCTGTTTGGGGTAGATAGTCATAGGGAGATGCATGCGTATGCAGTGTATATATTTCCATATCTTGCTGTTTCTCTGGCTGTGCTCTGGGCAGAGTACAGAAGCACTGAGCGTTAGAACACTGCGGAAGTGTGCTGGGAAGGCAGAGATTGCTGGCTGAGCAGAGTCTGGTTCCTGAGGAGTGTCCTCAGTGACACCTGGAGATGGGGAGATGGGGAGGCAGCCCAAGACAGAAAGAAAGGTAGCCTGGTGTTGGGAAGGAATTTGGTCACCGGTTCTTGGCTCAGCCAGGCCTCTTTTCTGAGGGAAGAGACACTGGGACTGATGCTGAGCTCTGTTTCCTCCCAGAGGCTCCCATCGCTTCTGAGCAAAGCCCTGTACACCAGCTTCTGCTGCTGCTTCCCCCAGTCCTGGTTCAACACCCATGAATTCAAGTCAGAAATTTGTAACACCATGGGCCTATGGATCTCAGGTGAGAGGGGAGGACCTTCCTGCCAACTAGGGAAGGAAGGTGGGGCAAAATGTTTCCCACCAGAGGCTGGGTGTGTTTTTCGACTGCCTAGCATCAAGACAGCCTTCCTGTTCTTTCTGAGCTTGGTGCTACATACCTGCATATATGCATCCCTGGCTATGGCAGGGAGTTTGTGAGTTCAAAGCCAGCCTGAATTCATGGCAAGCCCCTGCCTTAAAACAAAACAACAACAACAAATCCCCACGAATACAGCAGCCAAAATGAACTGTAAACAAAGTTAAAGCTGGGCATGATAGCACACACCTGCAGTCCCAACACTCGGGAGGCAGAAGCTATGAGTTTGGGCCAGCCTGGGCTATATGACAAATATCAGGCCGACCAGAGTTACTTAGACCTATCTCAAAACACCAGAGGGGAAGAAAGAGGGAAGGAAGGAGCAAGGGAGGGAGAGAGATAGAGGATGAGAATGCGAGAGAGCGAACTGAGCTGCAGTCCCAATTCCCCTTTCCTCGTAGGCAGTTCTGAGACATGGCTGCCTGACCTGAGCCTGTGCCCCACCACGTCTGCAGGGAGCGAGGCAGCAAGTGTCAGTTCAGCCCTGTTAGTTACCCGTATGCCACGGACCCCAGAGCAGCAGGACCCAGGTGGCCCCACAGTCCACTTCAGCACATACTGCGCCAGCTCCACCTTGGCTTTCCCAGATAGCTTCATTCCTTTCCCCCACTTTCCTGTCTCAGCATAGAACCTTCCTGAGGTCATTGAATGCTGTTATTTTTTGTGAGGATTTTTGTTGGTCAGATATTGTGCGAAACAGGCAACTTTGACATTTTATGTTGGGAGCAAGAAGTACGACAAGGTCACTGCCTCATAAGGAGTTTTGTCACCATGGCTAAGCTCTACAGCATCCAGTAGGAAACATGGCTGGATCACAGAGGAGGAGCCGAATGCTTTGGGGGACCCCTGTGCAGGCTGCCTGGTCTTCACTCCCTCCTTTCCACGGAGAGTTGCACGGAGCCCATTTACCTACCTGCCAGGGAGAGGTAGCTACTCGTGTGTGATGCCTCTGCCCAGGAGAAGCACACCAGAGATTCACGACCAAGGTTTTCATTCAGGGTCATCTTGGAGACTCCTCTGTCTATCTGGGATCTCAGTTCTGGAAAGCTGGCGTTTAGCCAAGCCACACTGTCTACGGACAGCCCAGGAGGAATAGCTCACTCATTAAAAGTAGTTTTGTGTCAGTGTAAGGAGCTGTTTGTTGGCTGTGTTCCCAGACACTAGCCAAGGCCTAGCCTGGCCGGCCTTTCTAAGCCTTGGGCTTGCTGGGTGAACTCTTCGCCGCACACCCTTTTAGCCCCTAAACATGAAGGGTTAAAGAAGTTCAAGAGCAAACAACCGAGTATCATGCTTTAGATCCAGAGTTGTTCCCCTCCAAAACTAGGTCTTGGGTTACTGTGGCAACCTGTCTCTCATTTCCCACCTTCTTCCTGCTGCTCCTTCTCCCTGGTCCTGCTTTTGCCTAACTAATTACCAGGAATAAACCTCCTGTCTCCTCCTATTGCCGAGTGGAGGCAGCAGCATGGCACAGTGGCTCACGTTTCTCCAGTGACCCTTGGAAGCATCATTTCTGGCACTAAGCCTGAGAGTGTGTTGGAGAACCTTCGCTGAGCAGCTATTCACTGCTGCCTGGTCCAGTGGGAGGCCCTGGGGATGTAGACCTAGCCCTAGCCCCTGCCCCTGGGGAAGGGAACTCTTTGTTCAGCAAGAACAATGGGAGGCAAACAGGAAACTGGGCAGCTGCAGGGTCTTCATTAGGGCTGTCATGGGGTCACACGCCCAGGCAACAGAAAGCGGCAGGGCAGATGGCATTGTCCCCATTCCTCAGGTGAGGAAACTCTCCAGAGAGGGAGTGACAAGGCCAGAATAATGCTGGTAGCAGATCTCCAGTTCCCTGAAGCCATCAGGGAGACTCAAGGCCTCTGTTCCCCTAGTCCTGCTCCATTTTCATTGGTGGAAGTGTCTGTTACCCTCTTGGCTTCTTCTAGGGACGTATCCTTGTCCAAAGAGCTATGACAATTGGGACTACTCGGAGCTGGATCCGGAGAGGTTCCGGAGAGAAGAACTGATGTTACAAAGCAGTCGACTTACAAAGGGTAAGCGCCCAGCTCCAGCCCTGTCCCTTCTGCCCCTTTCACAGTCCAGCCACAGTGTAACTGAGGCAGAGTACCAGGGCACTGATGTCCCCAGCAGGTTTTCTCTCATAGGCTTCCAGGTTAGCCATCAAATGAATACAATACCAGTGTTGCTGAATATGGGGAGTAGAGTTTTACATTTGGTAGAAAGGCTGGGGACACACAGTTCTAACACAGGGATTGCCTAGACCATGAGTTCCATCCGTAGAGCTATAAGCAAACACGCAAATCTACCCTCTTGTCTGTCTGTTCTCCCATACTGTATCAGGTCTGTGTGTACCAGTATCATCTACGAGCCTGTGTGTTCTACACTGTATGGGTCTGTATGTTCTAGTATCGTTTATGAGGCCTGTGTATTCTATGTTCTATCCAGTCTGTGTGTTCTAGTATTGTCTATGAGACCTGTGTATTTTATACTCTATCCAGTCTGTGTTCTAGTGTCATCTCTGAGGCCTGTGTGTTCTATACTGTATGGGTCTGTATGTTCTAGTATCGTCTATGAGGTCTGTGTGTTCTATGCTCTGTCAGGTCTGTGTGTTCTAGAATTGTCTATGAGGCCTGTGCATTCTATACTCTATTGGGTCTATATGTTCTAGAATTGTCTATGAGGTCTGTGTGTTCTATACTCTGTCCAGTCTGTATGTCATACAGTAGAATATGAAAAGCTAGTTAAACCGGGCAGTAATGGTGCACACCTTTAATCCCAGCACTTAGGAGGCAGAGGCAGGTGGATCTCAGTGAGTTTGAGGCCAACCTGGTCTACAAGAGCTAGTTCCAGGACAGGCTCCAAAGCTACAGAGAAACCCTGTCTCGAAAAGCTAGTTAATAGGAACCTAGGAGTTTACTGGCGCCTGGGACCTGCTGGAACCTCTGGGTGCTATTTCATCTCCATGTCAGCCAAGTGAACTACAGGAGACACATGCGTGTCACCACTGAGGACACTGATGGCCAGTGGAGTAACTTGCACAGTCCCAACTTTTCTATTTCCCTCCCCATACCATGTCATAGACATGTTTTGGTGGCATTCACCTCCAATTCAAGCACTTAGGAGACCAAGACAGGAGTTTGAAACCAACCTGGTCAATTACAGAGCAGAAAATTCTACTGCCCACTTGTCAACCACCCTGTGAGCACTCTGACTACAGTTCACTGGCGGTGCTACTTCACTTTGGTGGCTAGTTTAAGAGTCTGTGAAGGTCACGTCACCTCACGTCTGTGAGCCAGGCCTTGGGCTGAGATTGTCTCTGGGCCTGTGAGCCTTGCCCCTCCTCCCTATCCAAGGTCAGAGGCAGGTGCTTGAGCCCCAGCATGTGGATTGCAACTACCTTGGGTAGAGACAGGGCACGGAGGCCACACGGAGCAGGGCCAAGATAGCTCCTGACACTGGCCATGCTAGAAGTCCACACTGAGATCTGAAGGTCAAAGTTTCAGACAGCTGGAGGGAAACGCACTGGTGTAGACGCTGTGGTCAAGTCAACTGGACCCTGCAGCTGAGCCAGGTCCCCACTGCTGGTGAAGTTTTAGTCTTGTCTTGGGGTTCCACGGAAGAGTCTGGCTGCAGCGTCAGTCTGGGAATCGTAACAGCCCCTGCTTTCCCAGGACCAGACCCTGCCTCTGTCACTGTCCTAAGCAAACACATGCTTTCCTCAGGCAACGGGTCAGGCAGGGTTTCTCTGTGTATCCCTGGCTGGCCTGGAACTCCTCTGTAGACCAGGTTTTTTTTTTTTTTTTTTCTAAGTGGAGAGGAAAAAATAAATAAAAGAAAGAAACCAGTTCTTAAATTGTCTTTATTTCTGCATCCAAGGATTAGCTATGCTCACTATTTTTTGTTTTGATGCATTTGAAGGTTTAACAACTTGTTGTATTGTCATATTGGTAGTTTTTCTTAGATTTTGGTGGTTGCAGGGCTCAAACCCAGAACTTCAGCTCATGCTGATCCTGAACTCTGACCCGGCAACACCCCAGTCCTAGATTTTCTTCTACTTTTGTTGTTGTTTTAATTTTTTTCTATTAATTTTGTTTAGATTTATTTTATGTGTGTGAGTGTTTTGCCTGCATGTCAGTCTGTGCACCACATGCGTATGCTTGGTTCCCACGGAGGTCAGAAGAGAGTGTTGGGTTCCCAGGAACTGGAGTTACATATGTTTGTGGCCACCCTGTGGATGCTGAGAATGACCCTCTGTAGAGCAGAATGTGCTGTAACCACTGAGCCATCTCTCCAGCACTGGATTTTCCTTTTCAGACTTTTAACCCAGCCATGCTTTGTGGCACACGCTTCTAATCTCAGCACTTGGGAAGCTAAGGCAGGAGGACTGCAAATTAAAGGCCAACATGGACCCTATAGATTTCAGGATCAGGGCTATAGTAAGACCCTATTTCAAAAGCAAACAAACAGAACAAGTGTAGGAGGAGGCAGGGGGCCGGGTGTGATGGCGCGCACCTAATCCCAGCACTTGGGAGGCAGAGGCAGGTGGAGCTCTGTGAGCTTGAGACCAGCCTAGTCTGTCAACAGCCAGAGTTACATAGTAGAGAGACCCTGTCCCCAGCAGGAGAAGTCAGGACTACACAAAGAAATGCTGTCTTTAAAACAAATAAACAAATAAAACCATTTTCTTTGGGACTTGGCTCAGTTTTGTAGGAGTCCGGGATTAGTTTTCCTGTGAAGGCACTGTGACTTTGTTTTGGTATCTGTGCACCGTGCCCTGCACATGTGGCCTTGTAGGCATTATTCTCTGCTGGTTCATCAGCTCTGCCTCATTGAGCAGAGGCCCATGCTTGCCTGGGGCCAGTTCTGTTTCTGGTTCCACTATTACCAATGCTTCTAGGATAGTCTTAGGCTGTAACATGAGTGGCCTGCCATTCTGTAACATGAGTGCTGGCTTGTTTGGGTTTCCGTCCAGTCCGGTACCCCATAGCCAGCAAACCCCAAAGAAAATCACACAGAGGACTCCATAAGATTATAAACTGATTGGCCCATTAGCTCAGGCTTCTTGCTAGCTCTTATAAGTTATATTAACCAATTATTCTTTTTTTTTTTTTTTTTTTTTTTTGGTTTTTTGTTAT